GAAAGAGCCTGGGAGGTGTACTGCAAGACCACCTCTTGGTGGATATGTTTGTTTGCTCCCAAAAGAGCAAACAGTTTTCATCTATATAGCTTTTGTTCCAAATTAAAACAAACAAACAAACAAAAAACAACCTACTAAATGAGCAAAGACCCATCAGTGGAAACTAAAAACAACTATGGCTTTCCAGGACTACAGGACCAGATACCTCTAACAGATTTAGCTGCCAGCTTGTGTAAACCTCACATAAATTTAAACAATTGGATTCTTCCTCTCTCTTTCAGGGCCCAAGAGGACCACCTGGACCAGGAGGAAGAAAAGGCAACATGGGGTGTCCAGGCAAAAGAGGTTTAAAGGTTAAACAACAATTCTGAAAATACCGTTTCATTGTGATTTAGAATAATCCTTGAATGTTTTTATTACATGTTATTCTAACTTTTGCCATCTTTTTTCTTTTCAGGGGTTTCGAGGATTTTCTGGAAAAAAGGTACAGTATGACTCTAGACAGTCTGAGTTTGTGAATGCAGTATTCTTTAGGGCTTTGTCGTGCACTAAGTGAAGATTTTGAAAGTTTTGCAGAGATGTCAGTGAGTGTTAAGTCAATGTTACTTTTTTTTAGGCTGCTTTGCAGATGTCTGCTGCAATGCTCAGTATATGGTTGTGCCTCGGGAACATACAAGATATGAAACTTCAAGCATTAATTCCTGTGTTTAGTTTTTCTTCTGTTTTTTGTTTGTTTGTTTTTTTGTTTTTTCCTTAAATCTTGGTCTATGTCACCCTGTTCTTGCTGGAGTTTGTACATGTGCACTGGTTGTTTATGTGAAAAATTCATGCACATTTGTATTATTTCAGGGTGACAATGGGGAAGATGGGAGTGATGGAATTAGAGGAGAAGAGGTACATTATTTTCTTTCTTTTGCTTTCTTGACCTCAGAGTTACTGAATGATAAAAATGAATTAATATGCCATATTTTGTCTTTAAGGGATCTCCTGGGGTTCCTGGAAAGAAAGGAGAAAAGGGTGACATTGGATATCCGGTAACATTTTGTTATCTTTTATTGTTCAGGGTTTGGATTTAAGAACAATAGTATGGCTATTTCATGAAACTATCCCTGTGAGAAATATCTTTAATAAACCCTCAAGCACAAGGAGTAGACATTGTACCACAAAGTTATTTGCGCATTTTTTGTTTGAACTCCTATCAGGAGAGTTATTATAGGACTTCCAGCATCTGAAGAAGAGCAAACTACTGATGAATAGCCAGCCGGTATTTTTGTAAATAGGGTATATACCCAGAAAATAATTGCTCTGTAGGATGTTTCTATTTGAAAGAGAATTTGAAGAATAATTAGATCTGTACCTTACAGTCTTCTAGGTGGGCATTTTCTCATATTTTTTAAGGGATCAAATAATTTCTGCATATGACTAATTTGTAATACAGAGGCCTCCTACCTCTGTAGTACCTTGGCAGATTTACATACACGAGACGAGGTTTTTTTATTATCTGTGTTTGCCAATGTTAGATAGCTTCTTTTTCATGAAGCATGGAGCAGCCTTGTTGCCTTTCCAGGTACCTTGCAGTCTGAAACAAGGTGTGACTTACGACTCCAAATGGCAAGAAGAGATAATGCCTTGTGGCAGCTTCAGTAGACAGTTGGAGAATTGACCATTTGTCTTTTCGCTGATGAGACCCCATTTGTAGAATGGCTAACTGAAGCAAAAAACCCAGCCTGGTAGACACTGAACATTTTGGCTTGGTCCATGTAGTAAAAATGATCCTCAATGGGAACCAAGGTGATAATTCAGGTCATTGGTTGCAGTTTAGCCTCCACAATTCAATGCCTGCTATTAGGGATGGCAGGCTGGTGGGTGGCCACCATGCAGGTCTGTGCATGAACAACTTGAACTTGCAGGAGCAGCAACTGGATACCTGTTTCACGTGTGGAAAACAATACTTTCAAATAACTGCTTGGTATCTTACTTCCAGAAGAAACTGTCTTACCCTTTGCCCTTTTTGCCCTTATACATGTGCCCAAGGAGGCACAGGGCTGATTGCTCGAGGACTCTGGTTATTCACAGATGAGCACCATTACATTCAAAACATGAAATGTACGTTAGCATATGCCTTTCAAAGTTGTAGTCTACAAATAAAGTTCTTTGATATTTGGAATAATTTCTGTTTTGTTGCAATAAGAATTTTGAATTTATTCTTTAGTTACAAAAACCCCAAAAAACCCAATGAAACAAAATGTAGAGCACAGTGCCTGTTTCTATATTGCTTCCTGTCCAAGAATCCCCAGTTTTCTGGTTTTTTGGGAGTGGAATTGGGGAAGAAACTGTGGGTGAGACTATTTAAAAATGAAGGTTGAAAGGATGGAACTTGGACCTCTCTCTTGGCAATTCCTGCATGAAAGTAGTGCTTCAGGTTCTTACTGAGATATGTTCTGCTTTCAGGGAAGTCCAGGACCAAGAGGACCCCCTGGTGATCGTGGCCAGAAGGGCTTTCGAGGAGATCCTGTATGTTTTTTCAAGTGCATCATTATTTTCTAGATGCAGACTGTCTTTGTGTATGTACTCATAAGGCTTTACATAGTCTCCTGTGCACCAGGGCAAAACCAAGATGTTCTTCCAGTGTGTTCACATGATATTGCAATGACTGCAGCATGTCTAATACATAGGCTTTTTATTAACCCTTCATATAGGTAAATCTCTCTATTGTTTTGCTAAAGATGAACGTTTACAATTTTTAAGTAGTTAGTACTACCAAATCCTTGATCTGTTCTCTCTAAACAGAACTCCTTCTAATGTTGACAGTAATCATATGCATTGACTAAGGACTGACTTGTTTATTTAACATCTCAGATTTTGTAAAAATAAGCATTCTTACTGGGAGGTGTTTCTTTTTTTCAGGGTAACCCTGGACTGAACAGTGCAATAGTAGGAAAAAGAGGCTTTGCAGGAGAAGAGGGGGAAGAGGTAATTGTTTAGAAATATGTGGAATTTCTGTAAGATATCTGCTTAGCAGTTACACAGTTTCCTCCTCCTATCTGCACTATTTGAAATGTATCTTTGCTAAGGATATGGGAACTCATCACTTATCAAATGTGATGCTAACAAAGGTCTGAAAGGTCTTTGATCAGAAATACCACTGAAGAGGAATGAGTACCACTGTCAGCATCAAACCCGCAAGGCAATGGCAAACACCTGATATGATTCCAATGTGCAAATAATTTAAATCTTCAAATTTTAAGAGAAGATGTTATGATGGCCACTGCATCCCATGGACTCCGGGACCTGGGAACTCCTCCTTCCCAACCACTGAAGCCCAGTCAAGTGCACATTAAGACCTAGGAGGTCTTTCTGTCCCAGTCCAATGGATGCCGCTGCTGCTGCTCCTGTTTGCAGGTTTGGCCAGTAGTGAGGGTTCAGCCTGTATTCCAGAGAGATATATACACACACAGAGGTCACCAGTGCTGTCAGACACACAGACTACCACGGACAGAACACTGCTGGAGTATGCCCTCCCAAGTGGTCTGTGTCATTATCCTCAGCGCAACAAAGGAAAGTGAGGCACAGAATGAGGAAGTAACTTGCCCAATAGCAAAGAGCAGGCTAGAAGCAGAGCCAGGGATCTGCCAACTCTCTAACCCCCAGCCCTGTGCTCTTAACAAGGGCCTGCAGGAATCTTTCTGAGAAGAGCTGTAACGGTATTTGCCAGTTCTTAGATAGTGCTACAAGCCAGGCCCATTCAGAGATGTGTGACTGGTTGTTTTTGGTGGTCAGTGCTATTTACTGAAAGACTTTGACAGAGAATGTCGTTGTGGGGAAGTCCCACAAGAGAGTTTTTGACAGTCTTAAAAATTTGGCATGCAAAAATAGACAAAAGAAGAAATGAGAAATTGCAATGATGCTAAAGAAATTAAATTCTCCGTGTACAGGGTGAGAGAGGACAAAAAGGCTCTCGTGGCTCATCAGGAGGCGTAGGCAACCCGGTAAGTTCCTTTAACAGAGGAAGCTTGTACACAGTGAAAATGAAAAATAGTTCTTAACTTGCTTGGGCTTGATTTAGTGGGAGAATGCTTTTTAGCCTCTGCCTTGCGTGCACTTCCGATAACAATATTTAATTTGGTGAGTAGCAATAACCTTATTGTTAAATAAAAATACATTTTCCTAAGCAACATTCAGAATGGCACTGGAGGCCAAACCTGGACTACTGTTTTTCTAAGTATTTTTTTTTTTAAAAAGCATAAATTTTGCATTTGTTTATCTTTCAGCTGAAGTTTTAATGAACTAATTGCAACAAGTTAGCCACTTTTAAAAGCATTCAGGTGATATTGGCCTCACAGCCTTTTTTTTTTTACCTTGTCTTAGGGAATACCAGGGCAAAGGGGACAACAGGGACCAGAGGTAAGAACTATTCTTTTCTTATATCTGCCCTTTTCCACAGAGGAGCTTAATCAAGAATTTTGAAAAAAAGAATTCAAAGTAGTTGCAATAGGTATGTTTGAGAAACATTTTTTGTAATTGATTGGGAACCTCATCTGGACTTTTACGTGTATGCTTCATGCTATTACACTAAAACACTTGCAGGAGTATGTTCCAAATATTGCACAGATAAAACTGCAAATTTTAGGTATTTATAGCTTGCATGTAAGTATAGTTAGATGCATAAAACGTCTTTTCTCCTTTGTTTGTATCAATTTTCAACATTAGGCCCTTGAAAGCAGAAGCTGCTGCTTTTAGCACTCAGCAAGTCTTTCCTGGTGGCTGCAGTATTAAATGATTTTTAGTGCCTTGCATATTGTCCACACACAAGATATTATTTCAAGAACATTATCACTGTGTGGTTTCAGGAGTGCTGTCTTCGGATTGTTTTTGCTGTGTTGATTACTAGTTTATTCTGGGTCTGCAGTGTTCAACATGTTGAAGTCAGACTGGTTAGATAGGTCCTCTGGAATTTTTCTTGACATCTGCAAATGCAAGAAAATACGTTATCCATAGCAGGAAGATGTAAAGAAAAAAAAGACCTTTTTAATACAATACATCCCAACATGTTACTGTCCATTAGATCACATGAGAAAACCTTAACAAAACAACAATTTGTTCTCATTTAAAAACAGGGTAATCGTGGACAGCCTGGTCAGTATGGCTTGCAAGGAAAACAAGGATACAAAGGACCTCAGGTAAACATTATTATTTACAAAAGGAAAAAACCCAACACTAATGGGTGGGTTTTTTACATTATTTACATACATTATGTATGTATGTATATTATTTACAAAAGGAAAAAACCCAACACTAATGAACTCTTTTGTGCACTTTGGTTTTTAGGGACAAAAAGGCAGTAACGGTCAAAAAGGACAGAAAGGGAGACCAGGACCTAAGGGTCCTCCAGTAAGTAATATACTGAAAGCATGCCATGTTGTTTAATTGTAAGGTACTGGGTGTATCACCAAATGAGGATTATGATCTGAATGTTTTTTCATTACATTGATTTTTCAGGTTTCTTTTCAGTACATGGTATTGACCAGAAAAGGAGATAGATATTGGTAATAGACAAAAGCAATAAAAAAATTCCATAAAACTTAATTATTACTGATAAAATACTAGCTTTCTAATAATGCCACCTTCCTAGCAATAACAGAGAAAAAAGTGATAGTGTAAGGCACTTCTCTTGCATCAATATTTTTTCCAAGCTGTGATAAATTCTGCAATTATACTTAATACGTTTTTGTAGTTATCTACAACAAGCTATTAACAAAGGACTTTACAGTTTTATTATAGTGAGCTAAGACAGAAAAAGAGAGGAAAGGTCACAGATTTGGTCATGCAGAAACTATAAAGTATGAATTAATGTGCTTAATCTAACAATTATCATAATTTTAGTTCATACGAATTCTAGTTCTTTCATTAGCAAAAATCTGTGTTAGGTTTTCTGCCTTTGCTCCTTGCTCTCCTTTCTGGGTGTAAATCTTGTTCCAAGTGCTGCAGCACAGTTGGTTTTGGTGTTTTGGTTTTTTTTGTTTGTTTGGTTTTTTGTAAGGGCTTGCTTTCAAGAGCAGTGATGGTATGGATGTTTCGTTATGAGTGTATTAACCTTTTTGCTGTCCATGCTCTGACTTCCTACAACCTCCTGTGCATTGCCAACCAATCTGTATAATTGTAGTTGAATACTTTAATCCAAAAGCAAAGTAAACAGACTGATTTTCACAATCCAGTGGAATAATTTGCCCAGACAGGCTAAAAGTTGGTGGTTAAACACATTAAGTGATATGTACGAACTCATACCTCTCAAGTGTGTGTTCCCGTAAGCCCTCTCACTGGCTTCCTGGTGATAGGCTTCCCAGTAACACGCAAATCCCAGGAGGGTCCCTCGCTCACTTGCTTCTTTCTCTGAAACTACCATTCTCTCTTCTGTCAGCTGCCAAACATTTCCCACCTCCCACACAGCTGTGTGTTTTAATGAGCTCCCTTCCCTTGTACTTTGGACATTTTTAGGGGGATATGGAGGAAGAGAAGTATAGCTGCTGCCTTTTGTACTGAGCAGATCAATGGTCATGAAACCAGCTCGACCTCCTGCTTTCTGGTCTGACTGCCCTTGCTCTGAACTCACCGGCAGGGCTACTGGGTGGAAAGCAGGGGAGAGGTGAAGGATGTTACTCTCTGCAGGCATTTTTTCACCCAGCTCATTTGTACAGTGTATCCCCCGCCCACAGAAATTTTCCCTTTTCCTCATCAGTAGCTGTCTGGTACACTAAGAAGACGATGATGAGGTCCTACCTGTGGCAGCCTTCCCAGATCTCCCTCTGTCCCTCACTTTGCTATTTCCTGTTGTCCTTTTGAAAGTAAATACTGGCAGGATTCAAGCAAATTGTTGCTTCTCAGTAAAAAAGTGAAAATACTAGTTGCTCTGTATGAGGCAGTACAAGCTAAATTGCTTATGTGGCTCCAATTTGTTGGAATGCCAGTTGATTAGTGGCTTATAGGAGATGAGTCTTGTTTTCATTGTAACATTGTTCCCTGAGACTTTGGTGTTGAAAACATAATTACATATATGAAAGGGAGGGGTTGTATTGATGAGAGCAGAAGGCTGGTCTCTCTCTAATATCTCTGTGCTTTCTATAAAATTAACACCTGATTTTTTTAGAAGCTCACTCTGTAGAATTTGAAGCTACATTTTAGCTGGGGACAACCTTGGTGCTGCAAAGTCACGATCTCTGTAAACCTTTTTTAGAATCAAATTTAATACACTGAGACTATCATGACCCACCCTGCTTCTGATGTCACCACCAACTTTGCAACAGACTATTTTTGAACTGTAAGTGTCCTGTAGATCACTCACATATGTCCTTTTTGCTATTCTGGTCCCAAATTCCAAGATTGTTAGGGAAAAGCAAAACTGTTTTCACTTGTTTTTTTTGGAGGCCACTCAACATGCAAGTCTAGATAATATTTTTTCTGTTGTGCGCTTAGCCATAAAAATGCTATCTTTTTGTCTTGAGAACAAGATTCTTAAAGCAATATTTTCTGCAGGCATGGAATGCTTGCTGTTATTTTGGAAAGACATCTTGAATGCTTCCTTGATGTGGCAGCTAATTAATTTTCTATATGAAGTCTTATTTAAAGATACATTTCCCAGCAAACAATTTCCCGTGGGAACCAACTGCTTATCTTTATCTTCCTCTGCCAATAATGAGCTGAGGAGGCTTCAGTTTGATGTATGAAGCATGTCTCTTGATTGAATTTCACTCATTTTTGTCAGTTCTGTCCAAAAGGTGTCCAGTTTTCTCAGTGTCTTCAGTGTTTTGCCACACGTCCTAGGCATTTTGATTGAACATGCTGTGTGGATGTTAATGTTGTGTTTATTTGCAAGTGTGGTGTTCGGTGACCAAAACGGGAATTGATTTCCTGTCTTCCAGTTAGCATTCAAATTGTCATGCTGTGTGAGGTGGGTCATAGCCACCAACTAGTGACTAGGAATCATGTCTGACCATTTTTTTTTCCTTGCCCAGTATTTGAGAACCTTTTCTTAAAGAAATCTTGTATCAGAATATTTTTATACAATACATTGTGTGTTGGCATATGACACCCAGGACTGCTATTGTGTTCTTAATAATGACCCTAGCGACTCCTCTGTTCCCCCTAGCAGAAGTGCCATTATTCTAGGAAGTGGAGTCGCACCCTGTTAGAAAAAACATCAGAGATCCAAATAGTTAGTCCTGGGCTGATTGGCAGTGGAGGAAGGAGAGGCAGAAGCAGAGAGCTAGGGGTAGACTTTCCCAGGAACACAGAGCAGGTCACAGAACCACTTTAAGAGCAAAGGTCAAATTGCTTAATCCATTAGACTTTGTTTTGTCCCACTTTCTTTCCTGCTGTAGTTCACCACAAGGAAACTGCCTCTTGTTCTGGTAATATCATTTTTCCCCAGGAATGAATGCCACGTGGTTACACAGTTCCTTATATCTACAAAGCTCTTTGTTGTCAATAATACTTTTGTTATCTGACCATCTCAACTTACTTTTGTTTGGAAATAAGCTATTCAATTTCCTTATACTCTAAAATAGTCCATGCTAGGTACACTGTCATTTGAAGCATTTCAGTTGAAAACATAATCCTGTACTAGAGAAAGACATTTTATTCTTCTATTTTCATGGTATTATTATCTGGAATTATTCTAGTCTGTGGTCATTTAATCTTTTCACTCAAGTTAACTGTTCCAGTTTTCATTTCTGTATCACATCTTATGTGATACACTGGTCTGGGCACTGGAGAAAGCATTGTCCTTTCTAATGTCCCTTCCCCTAACAACTCAGTGATCTGCAAGATATAGAGAATTTTTAATATTTCTACTCAGTGTTTTAGAATATGAATATTTAATTCACACCAGATAGAAATCTCCGTGTGTCTGTCCTGTATAAAGAAAAATGTGCTTGTCACTTGCATCCATTGTAAAGAGAACCCAGAAAAGTACTTTTCCTCTTCATTACCCTATAATGAGACTTGTTCATTTATAAAGATGTTAAAGAAATGGAGAGGGCTCTGTCTTCCTGTCTGTGCATTTTCTACACCTGTTCAAAAAAAAAGAAAAAATGCATGTGCTTCTTTAGGAACACATTAGTTTTGGTCTTTGAGATCTGTTACATACAAAGGCCCGTGGTCACATTCAGTAACAGAAGCCATTAATCACAGCTTCTGGAAGCCAGCTGTGAAGGGCTGGGAGGGTAGATCTGCCTTTGCTTTGATGTATCATCCAAATCCCTGCATCTGTTGATCTTCTTCAGAAAAATATTTGGAATAGTGTGGCTTTCTTAAGGATAGTGTTGCAGCTGCTCTTTGGCTACAAATTTGAGGCCAATACGCTAACCTGGCTTGCTCAAGCTAACTTTTATTTACATTGGCTGACTAATCCCTGCCAAATGCCTGGAGGAGAGCATTTAGTTGGTACTATATGAGTTGGTTATTGTCATTCTGCAGCCAGATATTTCAGAGAGAGGATACTAAAAGATGTGGCAAAGTTTGGTTAAGCCAAACTCTTCTTATATCAAAAATACCTACATTGGATTAAAGTCCTGGAGAAAATAGGATCATGTTCTCTGACCCACTTTCAAGACAAATTCTATCAATATCCTTAATTTTAACTTACAAGTAACAGAACAGCACCTACAGTTTTCTTCCATTTAGTTTCCTCCTTCTTAGTTGTTCTGTCCAACTGTGGATTGCAGATGAGTCCCAGAATCAAACAGGAAGCTTGAAGTGGAGCTAGAAGCTGATCTTATTGATACGTCGTCTTGTGTGTTGTCTGGAAGATCAACCCTTTTCCTGGATCCTTGAGGGCTCCTTTCTAGGGCAGGGCTTTAAGGAGGCGTAGATAGTGGTTACGTAGCCTACAAATGTTATGGCATTAGTCAATTTTTATAAAATGTAAGTCCGACCTGAGAAAGAGTCTGTGTGTTTTCTCTGTTTTCTTATTTTACATCATAGTATTTGTCTCTTTTTGCTTATTTCAGAATGAACCAGGACCTGTAGGTCTGGCAGGGTCTCCCGGAGCTCCTGGGAAAACAGGAATTAAAGTAAGGTTCCCTTAGTTAAATTGCTGTATTAATTTTGTTTGTTTAATTCCCTTCCTTAATGTTGTTTAACAATGTTTAAAAATGGCTTGCCTATTCTGTTCTTGGAATCCACATCTGGAACTATTTCCCAGGCAAAGGTCCAGGGGATGTTTGCAGGATCAGTCTCTTGATCTGAGTAGCAATTGTGTGTTGAAGTTTAAATAAGGTTTATCATATTTCTTTTTAGGTTGCAGTTTGTATGGTACTTAAAATCTTTTGGAAAAAAACCAAGCAAGCACAGCCAGCACAGTATGCATGTTAGTAACGGCTCTGGCCACAGCTGCACAGAGCTTTTCAAGAGTATAAGCTTTTTAGATCTGGACTTTCTCTTATTTGAAAAACCTCTTTCTGCCAAAGTGTGGACCAGAAAGTTCAGGGAAGCAGAGTTTTAAATTAATTCTGTTTCATCTATTAAACCTTTAGATATAAATTTTACCCTCTGGATAATTTGTTAATTCTGTAAATTGATAACCTGTTCGTAAGCACTTTATAAGACTGGTATCATTTGCATGATAAACCATGTTGTGTTTTGCAGTTCTTCCATTAAGACCTAACAGTTCATGTTTATTTGATTTACTCTTCCCAGAAGAAATTGTAAGCTCTGTGCTAGTCTAAAATAGCTATTAAAGGGGATGGGGGAAAGATTCACATAATCAGAGGTCAGAAGAAGTGATTCCAGTAAAAGTATTATAATAGAGTTTCAGTGTTCCCTTTTAACTCAAACTTTCAGAATCATGACAAGCTGAGAATCCAGAAGAGAAATGCCTGACAAAATGAAGAGTAACAATCTTAATGGTGAACGTGTAAGATATTTGAAATGCTTTATTTACGCATTTTAGGATGTGTAGGATATCTCAAAAGTAATTAATCATAATTTTCATAGGCATAAATTCAGGTGTCTCAGGATATACATAACTTCTTTTGGGTAAGATCACTCAGTCTAGCATTTGCACATCTAAATAAAGGAGAAATGCAAAGTGGCTTTTAACATAAAAGTTGGGTTTAAGGTACTTTTTTGCCTGAAATCCTGAGGCTGCTTATCTGATTTTATAAATTGTAAGAAAGTAGCTTGAAGGTAATAGTGTTTTTGTATCTTCTTTCAGATTAGTCGAATTCCTTTGCATTTGTGGATGAGTGTGTGAGGTTTGTCAGCTGGTATAGTCAGATAGTTATTCCACAGGATGAAGGAAATTCTCCCATGCCTTTTGAAACTGGACTGGGAGACTAAGATGACTTTCTGGAACCAGTGGTTTTAGCCCTTTAATACTCATAATTTCTCATCCTTTAATAGAGGCTATTTGACCTGACACTAGAAATGTTTTCTTCTTTGATTTGGAAATCATATATTCTTTGAAAAAGCTAGTCTGCTCATATTATGAAAATCTTCCTTTCAGTCTGTATTGAGAGAGCTGAAGAAGGACCTTCAATACAATATTTCGGATTTCCTTTGCAGAACCTCATTTTGAAATTCACAGTATCCCTTTAACCAAGCATGACTCAAATGAATATGGGAATGGTTTACTTAATTGTTTTTTTTAATAGGGACAACCTGGTGATCTAGGACCGAAAGGAAAAAGAGGTCCATATGGTATGCGTGGAAGGCAGGTTTGTACTTTTATTTTTATCCCTATGCTGCTTTTTTTTGTCTACACCAGACCTAAAGCAGGAGGCCTGTGCTGTCCTAAAAGACATATAACTCAAGAAGAATTTCAGTTTGGTCAGTTAAGACCTGATGTTAAGTGTAATAACAGAGAGAATATAGATTTTTTTTTTTTTATTTCAGACTAACTGAGAGAATATAAATTTTAAACTACTTTTTGCTCTGAGTCTCCTAACAGTTATATTATTCTGAATGAATACAGGTGTGAATTGCAAGAGCAGACGTGACCCCAAACCTTTGGTACATTCTACTGTAATATTACAATATTTCTATTAATAGTATTGGGAAGAAATATCATTTGAGTTAGTAAATAGAGAATGACCAGGTGCTTTAGGTTTTTAGTTTGAAACTTTCTGTCCCTGATATTTTGGAATATGGTTCTAATTGTGCAGGTTGTGAAGAGAGCATAAACAAGAGTGATCGGTTTCTAGTAGTAGTATAAAAATGCAGTTTCTTTTGGGGCTAGATTTTCTAAAGATTTGCTTTGAGGTGCAGTTAGAGACAATGCAGTAGTATTTTCAGAGTAATCGATGACTGCAGGAGGATTTTTTTTTTTGTGTGTGCACTTGGCTTTCTCCTCTATATGGAATACCTTCCCTTCTGTTAGACTGGGTCAGCTTTGGAGACAATGTTGTACGTATTCCCGCCATCCCTCCTGTCTTTGCGGGTCAAGCCAGGACCAACTTCCACCTTTGTGTTCGCTTTTAAGATTTTACTTCCCATGGACTGCAGAGATTTTGCTTCTCTTTGAACTGGTTCAGGGGCACAGTGTGCATATGTATGAGGTGAAATGGAGTGGTTTGTTTATTTATTTATTTATTTATTTATTTATTTATACTATTGCTAGTATAAATAAAAATGGTCTGTTTATAGGGGGAAGATGGTGCTTTTGGATATGGCCTACTTGGAGAAAAAGGAGTAAAGGTAAAACTGAACAAGGAATCATAAGGACATTATTATTTTCTCCATTATTTTAGAAGTAATTTACAGTTAGAGGGAAAGCTAGGGGAAATGCAAACAACAGGCACCATTTATAGCTATTTGAATTTCATCCCAAGGCATATGGGATAGAACTCTAACCTACACAACTACTGATTTTATTTCTAATTATCACTCACTATGATTAATTCACTAGCTGTTCCATGTGAGCACATACCTAAGACTAAACAATCAGTTGCTAAAATCAGTGTGGTTGACAGTGGGTTCTGCACCCTTAACCTTGGACTGTAAGGTCCCTGTGGCCAAGTGCCATCATCTGTCATGTCGATGAAGCTAGTTCATATTGTGATTCTGGAATGTATTTCTGGTAGTGGTTGTAGGATGCAGGAGGCTTCAGTAGATTTTTAGATAAATCTTGATGCTATCAGAAGCAGGATTATATGATGTTTTGGCAGAAACACCATGCAAATCACATAGCAAGTTTCCTTATAGTTTTACATGCCTACAATGTATAAGAGCTGGTGGCTGCAAAAATGTCTTTTATCCAGAATATGTCTAAAGGAGCCATTAAGCTCCTTTATGCAAACAACTGAAACGCAAATAATGCTATTCAGAAAGTCATTAGCAAGGTCCTGGTGAGAAGTGAGCAATGTGGCCTTGGCGGTTTCCTTGGAAAGAGCCAGAGACTGTGGCAATTGTTAGTGAAGTTGTGAGCAAGGAATGTGCAGGATGGAGAAGACAAGCTGGAGATGCTCATCCCACACACTGACAGAAGTATTATTGGCTTGGTCCTGAAATACTAGAGAGAGATTTTGCATCCAGCAATGGCTAACTGAGCCATGAGCCTGTCCCTTGAATTCAAAAAAGAGGTTTTTATCATCCTTAAATATTGCTTGTATGGCACGTTGTGTCCCTACAAGACAATGTCTCCTGGCCAACCCCAAGCTATTGCTAGTATGTTTTTTGGAAATGAAAAATACAGCTTGGCATATCACCACCAACAAATACCAACCTCTGCCCTACATCTGATTTACTAGAAACATACCTCAAGAATTTTTGTGTACTAAGATTGGTCCGCTTCAGCTGCTAGTGTAATGACAATTTCAGTCTTTATTCACGACTGGGACAAGTTAAAGCTATAAGTATATCCTCATTGGCAGTATTTTTTATATATATATATGTGTGTGTGTATCTTTCCATGTATTTTACATATGCAGTGTATATATTATACATATAATGTAAGTATTCATACATATACATAAAAAACAGCATATTACTTTCAAACACCAGTTAAAAAACAAAACTGGGATGACACTGTGAATTTCATTATCTCTACTCTATGTTATAGGGAAATAGAGGAATTCCTGGAGATTTTGGACCAAAGGTACATGTTTGTTTTTTACCTCAACAGTTCTCTGGCTTTCATGTGTGTTAGCTTAAATTATCTGTTCTTTACTTCATTGTGGTTATATGTGTGTAATTCAGATGTAGCTCATAGAATTACGTTGTTCTAAAAATGGCAGATACTATTGCCAATATTTCTTTTTAAAAATGAGAATAGTTTTTGTAGATAACTTTCTGTACACTGAGTGAATTTTCCTGGCATTTTGTGAAAAGAAGTAGGATTCGGTTTTGTTAAAGGAGCAGGAGGGGTAACCTGTATAAGTGGAAAAAGACCAAAAGCTTTCATCTACCATTCTCCCCCCTCCAGCCAGTGAGCACTAAATAAAAATGGAGCAGGTGTTTTGCTAGGAAGAACAAACTGATGCTGGCTGCTGTAAAATGAAGTAACTTTCATGAAGACATGGAAAGGGAAGGCCCAAGTGTCCTGAATGAGCCCTAGCTTTGAGGGAAACAGCCTATATTGAAATTGTTTTTGGAAAGCCCACCTATTGTGTTGCCTTTGTCCCTCTTATAGTTTACTCAGTAAAGTTGCTCCGTGTGCAGTCTTTTCAGCAAGGTTTGATTTTATTGCATCACTTTAATTGTTTAAGCAAAGATAGTGTTTGTAGGCAGAGGTTTCTTCTGACCTCCAAGGATCCACACAAGTGGGACTAGTGGTGGTTTTTCCTACTCCTGAAGCTTCAGACCAACTTACTTATAGACAGTAAAAGTAGATGGACATAGGAGGTCTTGCTCTGCTGCATTGTTTAACCATGTCAGAGTGAATTTATTCAGGCTAGCTCTGTTGTACTAATATATGGACAAAGGAGAAAAGGAATTTTGGAGAGAAATAAATTGGAAATTTATCAGCAGAAGTCCTGACCTTCCTTTACTTTCAAGTGCCTAATTTTGCAAGTCCAACAGTCTGTTGACATCATGGTTTATATGGCAAGAGTTTAAAAAAGAGATCTAAACTACAGAAACAATAACTTTCTGAACATAAAAAAATAGTTGGTAATTTATGAAGTAAGATAACAAGCTAGCTTGTTGTGCATTTCTAATTCACTCTGGCAGTCTTTATTTAATAAGCTTGTGTTTGATATATGCCAACCATTAATATCCCTATGGGCTTGTTATGAATTTTAGGTTTCTTGTATTGAAATGCCAAAATACATTTAGCTGGGGAAAAAAAATCTTTTGTCCCTCCACTGTTTTGCAAAGCAAAAGTGGTGTTTATAGAAGTTTTTGATAGGACCTCTTTTCCTAATAGAAAATCCATGATTGCTCAAAAAATTACAAGTGGAGGATTTCCTTCAGTTAATTTATTAAGTAATACAATAATGACAACTGAGTAAACAAACGCAATGCTTCTTTTTTCCTTTTTTTTTTTTTCCCAACTTAGGATCACAAATTTAAAAATCAGACTTTCCAGAAAGATTGAAACCTTTTTTTCAAGCTGAATGTGAAGTCTAGAGCCTCAACCAGTTCTAAAAACAATGAAAACACTGGCTGATCAGATTGCATAAACAAGACTGAGCTGTGAAGCTGGTATTACACAGTTCAGCTAATAAGGCTGTTTAACATCTGTACTCTCTGTGGATGCAGAGCTATGGCCACAGCAAAAGCAGTCATTCTGCTGAACATCATGGCCTGGGGACAATGTGGGCAAGTTGTGTGCCAGATCTCTGACCCAAACCTTCCTGGTAAATGGCCATTTGTGTATGGAGTAAAGAAGAGTAAGGACTGCATCATGTTCTGACAGTTTGGTGACTGATTTACATTCCCCCATAGATGTAGAAAATCTGACAGCGGCTTGTTCTTGTTGATATCACTGGACATTTTCAATGTTCTGTGCACAGAAATTGCTCGTTAATATTTTCTCCAATATTTTTACTTGCATAGTAATTAGGGAGCGATTAGGCCTCTTGTTAAATAAATTGAACTGCCAGCTCTTCACTGTTCTCATGGGAAATCTGTGTGTGCTTTAATAAACAAGTAGATAAATCACATTTTGGAAGCAGCACACTTCTGCCATAGAAGGTATTATTTGGAGAGAATACACTGCAGTCAACAGTATGGTTTTGACAGATTAGAGGGAGAAGTGCTTTCAGTTGTGTGAAATAAGATGTTGCATATCTTTTGTTATCATAGGATACTTCATTAAAGTAACAGCTGCATCTCATTTTCTTTTTCCCTGGTAAAAAGTCATTGGCTGGTCATTGTGTAGGTTTGGTTTGGTTTTTTTACATGAATCCATGACTGATTTTTTGTGTGCAATCTTTCATATCCCTGTTTTTCAGTGGGAAAATGATGTCATAATTTCTTGAGAAGTTTGCATTTTTATCAGGAGAGCCTGTTTCCACATTCTACTTACATTTTTTTCCAATTAACTAGGGTGAAGCCGGGGACAAGGGAATTGCAGGGGAACCTGGACTAAAAGGATATAGAGGCAGAATGGCAAGTACCTTATCCTTGTTGTTCTTTAATGTTGTTTTTTTTTTTTAAATAGGCTTCTCCTTGATGTGCTGATAGCACACTTGTATTAATTTTTAGATGTTATGTCTGTATTTTTCAAAGGCTGCTAATGCTGGCCATGCTCTGTTCCTGTGTGCGTTACACTAAACAGAAGCAATGAGCATTTCTGAATGTCCTACCTGCTGTTCCAGTTCACTTTCCTTTTATGCCTTTTAGATAAAATAATGCTGTAGAAGAAATTTGCTGGTTTAAGAGCAGTGTGATGATCCCATTTATTCCCCATTAACTTCTTTGTCCTGATTTTTCTGGATTCTTGTGTGTTTCTTTCTCCCTTTTTCCCCCAAGCTTTTCCACGGATGAATATTAACTTCAGATCTCCTCTGCTGTGACAGAGGGTGAGGAGGGCTGGCTGCTCCCAAGAGAAAGGAGAGCTGGGAGCTGCAGGTGGTAACAAACAAGGAGGAGTTCAGTCCCGCTGAACTGTTTTTTACTCAGCACTGCTTTTCCAAAAAAGGCTAGGAATTAAACAAGGCTCTTGCCACCAAAAGCAAAGATGTGCATGTGCTAATTTTATTTTGAAGATTTTATTTCTAAATGGGCTTTGAACATATTGGATGAATAATACACTTAACAAAAATGAGCTCAACCACTAGAAGAAAATTGGTGCTTTGATGCTATCCAGGTTGTTTATCTCGTAAAAGTGAAAATTATGTCAGACCTGATGCTCTTCTTTCTTACTCCTTGTTTACGCTTAAGTCAGTGGAACTTAAGCATGTAGCAAACAAAGGAAGAAGGAAGGAAACCTGTTGATTTTCAATAGAAAATGTAAGTTTTTTGTCACCTGTGTATGTTCTTCAAATACCACATATGTACATGCTTCTGTTCATAGGGTATTCAAGGACCTGCTGGTCTGAAAGGCAGTCCAGGAGACCGGGGATCTCCAGGACGCAGGGTAAGACTTAGACTCCATATATTTTGCTGGTACTGGAAAATGCATTTGTTCTTTTTAATTTTGAAGGGAAACTAAGGAATGAAACAAAACATTTTCTTCCTCTTATGGTGGTCTGGAGTGCTAATATGTGCAATGTTCTGATGGTTCTGATGACTGCCATTGATGTGTTGTGCATATATTGTAAATTGCATGATTGTATTACACTGTGAAATTCAATATTTTATTAAATAAAAAAGATTGTGATTTCATCTGTATGTAAGCACGCATCAGGTACTTCTGAATGCAAATGGCTAATTGTATACCTATAAATGAAATTTTCATAAGTCACAATCTAAAGGCCTAACTTGTGCATGTTTGAAAAGTGTACCTGACTTGTACTTTGAGCCTCTCCTTTTAACTAATGCAAAGGACAATGCTTGCTGTATTTTTTGGGTTGTCACTAGCACAGTAAATTTTGCAATGATGTATTTCTAACAGACCCATTAGAAGTACCATTGTGGGAGTTCAGTGGTGTGTATCTTAAGTCTCAAAGGAAAGAGGCTCACTTTAGAAATATTTATTTCCTCTTCGCCTTTAGGCTTTGCAAATTCAATACGGTAAAAAAGAGAGATTGGCTTCATTTTTCTCTCATTAATTGTTACTGCTGCGGAGAAGTCTGCAGCTCATGTTAAGCGGATAGTTTCTCTGTACATCTTTGTCAGATATGAAATGATATACTGTGAATTTCTTCAAGCTTCAAAAGAGGACCATAGCTGAAATTAGTTGCAACAGCCATGTACAAAAATTCCTCAAAGTACTAAAGGTCTGTCCTTGCAAACAAAAATACTGATCTTTCCTCACCCTTACTGCAATAAAAATGTACGCAGGGAACAGGTAGTAGAAACTTTCAGTTCTACTGTAGACTTTCAATATCCCCAAATCCTGGTAGACATTAAATAAAATATAAAAAAATGTGTAATGCAATCAACCCTTGGCTGATTAGTGAAATATCTGAGCAATTACATGAGATGAAGATATCATTACTGTAATCTTTTTTCTTCTCTCTCTTTTTTTTTTTAGGGGCGTAAAGGACTGAACGGACAAGCCTTATTTTCTGTATGTAGCTCTAGCACACTCCATGTTACAAACACACACAGTGCACCATCTCATTGGGTAGTCACGTGCTCATGCATGTCTTTTTTGTTCTTGTCCGCAGCCATGTGAACTCATTGACTACGTCCGCAAACACAGCCGTAAGCATTCAAGCTTGTTTTGATATTGTAAGCCCGAGTATCGCCACTTGCTTTCTTCCCTGTCTTGTTAATACCACATCAGTTCGGTGTTCAGCGTGCCTGTGAATTTATGGACTTAGCAGGCAGGTGCTTGAAAAACGAAGTTAGGGCTCAGAATGCAAAACTTTTTTTTGGTTGCTTAGAATAATTTCTATTGCCAAAGTTACTGTAATGTAATTTCTTAGAAATGTTACACGTCTTGGTATCCAGTGGTTCCAGTTACCATGCAGTAAGTTTGCATTATTTTTTTCCTCTGCTATCTATCCTAATTCCTGAGAAAGTGACCCTGCCAAAGAGTGGGAGTTTCTACAACTAATGGTATATTTCTGTCTCTAAACTCTGGTGGAAACCCCTTGAGGAAAATATTTGGCCTAGAGCAGGGCCACGTCCTGCTTGTCCTTTTACTCCATTCTCCAGTAAAACCAAGGAGAGTTTTGCAACCAGACAGAGCAGTGGAAGACAATAATGCATGCATCATAAGTCACTGAAAGTCTTAAAACCTGTAGAACTATGGAAACTAAATTCAGCGTATGTTCCACCAGTGATTTCAGCTTTTATTTTTAAAACTCTTCTGATGCAAAATTTTTCAATTGAACTTTCTTTTTCTCTTTCTTTAGCTTGCTGGGATGGTGAGTACTGCCTACTCCTATGCTACTGTTACTAGACAGGCAGAATGGCGGTGGTCATTTGTCCAACTGACCTAGCAGAGATCTCATAACCTGTGAACTACTTTGCCTTTGTACTGTTAGGCTCCACTCAACCAACCATTCCGAGCTGCGTGTTCCCTTCACAGGGGTTAAATCCTACCTCGAGAGTCAGATGTTTACTGAACTGGAGCTTTAGTTTGTTATTGCATGGGCGGGATGGGCTAGGTCCCCTTTTTAATTTAGCTATCTAAAGTGCAACTGATTACTGACCAGATGCTGCTTCTGCAGTTTGTTTCTCTCCACTAATGACTCTGCGACTAAACATGTCGCCATTCATAGCTGTGGCAGATGTTCTTAATTAAAACCATCAGATATTTTTTGGCCATCACGAGCTCAGTTTCAACTATCACATCTCTGTGATCGGCCATACTGAGCCTAAGCAAACTAGGGCTCCCTAGTTTCTGTACGCTCCAAGGTATGCACCCTGTAACACAGCCATTTCTCCTACGATGCATACGTGTTCTTGCCACCTACCTAAGTTCTCCTCCCGTTCTGCAGGTGGAGCAGCATGGCATAGAAATGCTAAGCCTAGGAAGCCTGTGGAGAGCAGAGAGTTAAAGTCTCTGAAGTCCTAGAACCGATCTGAGAGAGCGAGCGCTAGTGTTATCCTTCTCTCACCCTTCATAATTCTAATTATCTTGCAGCTTCAGCACTGCAGATTAATTTTCTTCCTTGTCCCTTCTCTGACCTTCTTTTCTCTTCCTAACTTCACTCCCACCAGTTCCTCCACTGCTTTGCACTGAGCTGCCAAATAATTTCATCACACCTACTAATTTAAAACTTTCTCCTCTTTCTTTATTCTGATTTCAATACCGCTCTCCTTTGTTTTGCTTTGGTTTTATTCTTCCTCTCTATCCTCTTCCCACTACGGCTCAACGTCCCTCAGTACTTGGTGTGTTCCATGCCCAAATGTTTCTGATACCAGTTCTGTATAGGAACTGATAATGGAATTTTTGTCCTATGCTGAATTTGGCTGGAATAGAGAGTCGGTAATCTTCTCCCTTCATGAGTGCTAGGTAAACGATCTTCTTATTTCTGTAGTTATGCTACCTGCTATAGCCTGTGGTTTTTAAATTACATTTTTCTTCTTGCTGCAGCAGATTATTTTCTTCAACACAATTTCTGCTTTTAGATGTAATATCGTGGCTGGAGTAATTACAAGATGAAATGCTGTCTTCCTCCAGAAGTCTCACCGTGCATTATCCCATCTTAACAGTCCTCCTGAGAATGACGTAGTAATAATAGCATCAAATCAGTATCTGAGCCGCACGGCAGTACCTGAGCTAGTGTAGGCCCACACTGTGCCCAAGAGGAGCTTTAAAAGGGAACACTGTGTGCTGGAAATACAGGATACTTCTATGCAACCCAATGCAGACTGGTGCAAGCTGGCTCGGAGGTCGGTAGCGTCGGTTCTGCCTCTGCAGGCACACCCGGCAAGGGGGGCACAGACTGCAGCAGAGTTGCATCCCACTGGTGCAGAGTGCAGGGGAATGTGGAGCCTGTCAGAATTTGGACAAAACCCAAGATCATTTCTACTCCGGGCCCTGTTGTTGTCCTGCTTGGTGATGCTGGAGAAGCCACTTCTACTCTCTGTGCTGCAGCTTCTCCATCTGTAAGACAGTGCTAATACAATTTAGCACTATTTGTCAAATATCTTTGTAAAACCTCTTCATAAGAATGAGCAATTTGCACTCTTCTATGCCTCACTTCAGTGTAAGTTGGTCAGATGTAATACATAGCTTCTACCTAACTGATATTTTAATTTGATAAAGACATCAAACAGTCCCTGGTTTTCACAATCAAACACTGTATTTTTCAAATGAAATGGAGATGATCTTCCATAGAAAGCAATTTGCACTCTTCTATGCCTCACTTCAGTGTAAGTTGGGCAGATCTTTGTCTGGCTCCCTCTTTTTCTTTGTGCATGTATCACATGCAGGATGTAGTTTAGCATTATATCATTTTATGTATGACTTTTAAGTGCATTACTCTTCATGTCCAAGATGCAAGGGAACAAAATAATTTGGGGTGTTTTTGTTTTTTTTTTTTCCCTAGGAAAACTGAAATGCCCAGTATATCCAACAGAACTGGTGTTTGCCTTGGACATCTCTAGGACACTCACTCCTGAGACTTTTGAACTAATGAGAGAGATTATGATAGCGATAGTGAATGATGCCATAATCAGAGACAGCAACTGCCCAGTGGGAACCAGAGTTGCTGTTGTTTCCTACAACTCAGTTACCCACTACCTGATCCACTTCTCAGAGTTTCACAACAAGAACAAGCTACTTAACGCACTAAGAAATATTTCTTATCAGAGATCCTCCAGTGAACGGGACACTGGAAGTGCGATGAGATTCATTGCCAGGAACGTTTTCAAGAGAACTCTACAAGGTCCTAACGTGAGAAAAATAGCTGTGGTTTTCAGCCATGGACCAGCCACAAATGCATCTTCTGTTAAACAAGCCGTCCTGGAGATGAGTGCAGTAGAAGTCATTCCAGTAGTTATTGCTTTTGAAAACACACCCCATATCTCCCAAGCTTTCCTGGTAAGAAATTTACTAAACTTTTCTTCTTTATGCTCAATAATGTTAGCTTAAAACAAGAAACTTTAAATGTATTAGGTCATGCTTATCCCACATGTAATGCTCTTGAGCATAGCGACTCACCTGTGTCAAACTTTGATCCAAATTCTGCACACCAGTAGCTGGCAGTTAATCTTTAGTGATGCTAATGAAAGGTGTGGGAATCCTGGAGATTTTATAAAAATACCTTAGCAGACCACAACAAAGATAATGTGTGCAGACCATAAAATACATGGGTAACTTTATAGAGGAGAGATTTTGTGGTCAATAACTTCCTGATTAAAGCATCTCTTACAACTCTCACACTTTGGAACTATTCCCATCTGCTTATAATCCTATGAAGCAGATCATGGAACAGCAGGTTCTCAGCTCCCTAGATGGTTCACTGTAAAATAGTGAAGGGAAAAACTGTAAAATGCCTCTGATGGCCTGTTCTGATGCAGAGCAATCTTCTCATAAGTAGATGTGTCTGTCCTACTTTTACCTATATGTGAATGCACGTTCACTTTACCAGATAAGTTCTCAGGAATGTGAGTAGCACTTTGCCACCTGATGTGCTTTCCTCTTGTGATCTTATTGCCCTTTCTCTGACACTTTTCTAAAGAAAACGGATGAAAGGCCGATAACTAGGCTTCTGCCACCTGGCCTTAGGAACACAGTGCAGGGAAGGGACACTGGGAAAAGGCATATTGTGAGGCAGTGCATCTGACACAATTCGTGCACCATTTTCACAAAGGAGAAATTGTGAAACAGATTAAGCGCGGGAAGTCTTTGGAGCTGGAAGACATAGTTCAGCTGAGCAGCCTGGCTGTTTAATTGGATGTTGTGGCCCACATTGTGAACCTCTCCCATCCATTGTTGCAAAATCAATTATTAGAGTTATGTTATTAAGGTAGAATGCCCTTATCACTGATGACTTCAAAATCCTCAATCCAACAAATTGTTTCTCTTGCAAAGTATGAGGTGAATCAATGGTGCCCATAGGGCAGCTAATGAAAATTCAAAACCTATTCTAAGGTAGTTTCTGCCTTTTTCTTATATTTTAAGTAATAAAGCTCAAAATTATTAGTAGTCACGTTGCTCTTAATAGGGCATTTTGTACAAGTACTGCAGGTAGACTTTATCCTCTAAAATAAATTGCTATATACTGCAAGTTCACTAAAGTATGGATTAATTTGTATTATTCTGCTCTTTAGTTTCTGAAAGGATGTTACACTCTGGTCACTTGCTGTAAAGAAAAAAATGTTAGAAACAATTTCATAACTGTAGCACTTCATTTAATACTGCCAAGTCGTCCTACAGGGAAATGTGATTTCTGTATTATAAATGTCCTAGGAAAGCACGTAATTTCATTTTAGACAGAAAGGTCCAAATTCAATAACATAAACTTAGCATTAAAGTCTATGTTGTGGAGTGAGGGTGTATTTCTATGGAATAATGTAAAAAAATTGTGCAATAACTATAAATTTTGTGTTGAGAGATTATTTTTCTGTCTGATGAGGAATGAGAGAAAGGATATATGACGAAAGAATTGTGAACAAGACATGGAAGATTTTTACATTAAGAAAATGGAGCTATTGATTTAGACTGTGTTAATGTTCACCAAAAGTAATGCATGACCTTGCAGACATTATAATACTGCTATATAGGAAGGATTTTATGAATTTAAAGGATGCATTTCTTCCTTTCTTCTCTATTTTATAAAGTAAAACTGTTGTTCTAAAATTGATTAGGTCATGTTTCTCTAACATGCAGTTGAAACTCATGGAGCAATGTCCAAGAATATTTTAGCCTATTGGCTTTTTATTCTGACTTGCATAATTAATAATGTTATCTGGGGAAAGGACTTCCACATCATGCATAGTCTATTAAGAGACTGTATTAGGTACAGTGGGACTTGTGTGGAAAACGACGAAGGCGGACTGTGTTTCTCATTAAGACTGAATTATTTAGTCCCATTCCTGTGGTTTCTATTGCAGATGAGTTATTTGAAATGGAAACCCCTTTCTTTTCCTCAAGTGTCATGCTCACCTTAGAGGTTTACAGCTCATAGAATCATAGAATGGTTTGGGTTGGAAGGGACCTTTAGAGGTCATCTAGTCCATCCCCCCTGCAATTGGCAGGGACATCTTCAACTAGGTCAGGTTGCTCAGAGCCCCATCCAACCTGACCTTGAATGTTTCTGGGGATGGGGCATCTACTACCTCTCTGGGCAACCTGTCCCAGTGTTTCACCACCCTCACTGTAAAAAATTTCTTTCTTATATCTAGTCTGAATGAAAGTCTAGATGAGAAACTGAAGCTTATTGAATATCTCTGTTCTTGTGCATATGCCTCAGGCCTCGTCATGAGAGTAAGCCCAGCAGAATCTGACCTGCCACTTATTTCAGATTCACTAGATTTTACTTATTTCCTAAAGCATTAATTGTTTTCATCCAGAAAGGTGTCACTTCTTTCTAAAACCAACAAATTAAAAAATTAACTTTAAAATGCCACTATAAAAGATTATGTAGTGTGGTTAAGTATATGTACTCCGGGATTCAGCACAGATTTAAACTTTATTCACCTTGCAAAATCACCGCAAGGTGCCGGTGATCACTGCTGCAGCTTCCTCTGTGTGAGAAGAGTCACATCCTAGGCAGATAAGAAGTTTACTGTCTTTCTTCCTGCTGTAAATGTGAGGAAGTTCATATCAAGTTGCATTTTTTAGAGTAGAGTGAGTGGTGTGAGAGGGCAGACACAGGTAGGGCACAGGCAAAAACAAAGAATTAGTTTTGCTGTTTCAGATCTTTCTGTAAGGAAAAACAACAGTTGTCCAGAGACAAAGTTGACACGTGAGGATGGAAGTGATCCTAAAAGCTGGTACCCAATGACCTGGAAGTCTCCCAGGAGTTTTGGCCCAGATAGATGGAATTGTGTCCTTACATTCCCTATATTTATGATAATGAACTCAAAAATCCTCCCTTTGTTTAGTCTGAAGAGAGGACTTGTTGGAGAAACTCCTGGAAGGTGAACTGTAATGGCGGATACTGGGGAAGGAAGGAAGGAGATTAGTTGCTTCCCCAAAGTAACCACAGCTCTTGAAAGTCTTATTGGTGTGGATAAAGCTAACTGTTCGTTATCACTGTCCTTCCCTTTAAGCTGTGAGAGAACCCAGGCAGACATACCCATTGAGGGGTTTGTGCCTTGGCACAAGGACACAAGAAAGCGTGGAGTTTTCGTGGATTCAGACAAATAGTGCTATAAAAAACATTCTGGTCTCTTTCCCATAAGGTGCATAAATATTGATGTCTAGCAGAACCAGGGTGTCTGTAAGATAAGAAACTTCTTTTTAGGAGGATGTCAAAGCTCTGTGCAGTTTCATGTGTATGCCAGACTTCACTGGCAGACTTTATGACAGTTTATTCACAGTTTAGTAATATATAATAATGTATGGAAACAATACATATGTATAAATATATGTATCTAAACAGGTGTATGGATGTTTATGATATGTGTAAGATTTTTGTCAATAATATGATTTTATTTCCCTTTGTGTCCATCTGTAGCTTTTAAAAATATTTTAAAAAGAAACAGCTATATTCAAATCCAAGTGTTGAAGTAATATTTTAAAGAGGACAGGAAATCTGGTATCAGAAACGCTTGGGTGGTGTTTTAGATAGGTCCCAACTTCTCAAGGTATCGGTGCATGTCTGAGGCACAGCCATCAACTCAGATTGCTTAGTTTGCTTTTTCTGTAGATAATTTTTCTACCTGAAGCTTTTGCCAGACATTTTGGTCATGTTACAAAGATTTTCAAATGTAAAATATTTATGTCATGCATTTTATCACACTCTGAGAATGCAGAATTTCCACTGGGATCTGTCAACTGAGGATCTATCATAGACACAGATAGATACGAAGTCTTTTGCTTGTTTCACAGTAGTGCTAGAAAAATGGTTTTGTCTCATTTTAGGCCTTAATTAGGAAGAAGTCTATATGAGATTACCACAACTGGGATATGTGCACTAATTGTCTGCAGTGCATCCCTCCCCTTCGCCCCCCCTCCACTCCCCAATGGGTCTTCTGGGCCAAGTTTGTGCACTAAATTTATACTTCATCAACAACAAGAAATCATAGAGCACTTACTCAGCAGTACTTACGTGCTGTCTTTATTTTTTGTTTCTAGATGGATGATTCTGGATTGTTTCAGGTGCTAAATGTTCGTGGTGGACAATATAATGAAACGTTAAAAAGATTTCTGCTCTGCACTTTGTGCTATGGTAAGACCAATAGAGTATTTTGAATTGTCATTGAAAGAGAAATACAGTATTATGTAGAGTTGCCTAGTGAAAAGCAGTGAGATAAGCAAAAGGGCTGAGGCATTCCTCTGGCCTTACATAATCCTAGCAAAATTATTTGGCTGTGTTTCTTATTGATGTGTTGAATTCCTAAAGTAGAATCTGTTTCCAGTGAACGTTATTTACTGGCAACCTATCACCTGCATTGTCATGACTGCTAAATCCATTTCAAAGGAAAATACTTAAATTGGAAGAACATGTTTGTCCCCCTTAAGCTTCATCAAATGTGGTGTTAAACATCTAGAGCCTTTTCCTTATTCCTGTCTTTCTGGGACCTTCTACCTAGGATAAGCACACGCTTTTCTTTCAGAGTATTTGAATCCTTGTCTGACCAGAATGCCTGGTTGAAAAGAATGCATTTACTTGAATTGCATCCTAAAAGCAAGTGTTAATTAAATGTAACGGAGCAAGGCTACCAGTGTCCTTCAGCTTTAAAACCCTGCATGACAAAGTTTACTAACCTTTAAAAAGCTGTAGCAGTGATAATCAATGCTGCCTTCTGTGAAACCGGTATCTTCCCAGATGGGTGAAGACAGGTAATAGGGCTAGAGCCTACATCCTTTTCTCCTTCCTTCTCCTGATTCTTCAGAAGATTGTTTCTGGTCTTTCCATCACTATGTAAAGCTGGAGAGTACCCCTATGTATTCCTACTGGGACACACAGTGGTCAGAAAGACAGATGAAGTATTAACAAGGAATATCTCATTTTGTGACTCAGCTGATGGTCTGACATTAATGGCATGTGAGGTCCCCTGACTTCTTTATGATGATTCTGTGCAGTGCAGCAGCTATTAGCACACCTAACAGCTTGGGAGAAAGACTTGTTATTCTGCTGGAATCTGGACAATCTACTTGTATGTTCTGAGTCTGAGTTGGATTTATGTTTCATAGAAAGTAGTTTGAAAGATTAGCAAATGTTTTAAAAGTCTTGACTGTAGTCATTTTGCAATTTTTGGAACATTGATCAACTTTGACTCCTGATCAGAGTCCTCAACAATTTGGTGAATGTCACCAATATCACAAAGACTCTCTTCTGTGAAGAACATCATTGTGAAGATTGACCCTTGTCTGCAGTACTGGGAAAAATTGCAGTTCTGAAAATGCCATTTTCTTTTCTTGACCCAAAATTCCTTTTCAAAAAGCATTGATTTCTCCTCTTAATGCTGTAATATTTTGGGTTTCCTCAAAAAGCTTACAGCAGTTGTATTAGTTAGGAATAAAACTTCTATCTAAATAGCCTCATAAATACATTCTGACATGTTGTACAAATGATAAAAAGTTGCGACAGTTGGTGTGTGTAGTGATCCCTGTCATCACAAAAAAATTAAATACCTTATGAAATACATACTGAAGTAAACAGGAGAGTTTTTAGTTTTTCTTGATTTTAATGGGATTTTTCTAAATTTTCAAAATCTTGTTTGGTTTTTTTTAAACCTATACAAAAATAAACAATTATAATATAATTAACTCTATTCTTATGATCTTTTTGTGTTTCAATGGGAAATAGAGCACCAATTGTCTTGCAGAACCTGGTGCATAATTATGAGTTTTGAGTCAGCCTTTATTTTCCTAATATGCATTGAGGTCTTTATAGTGGTTTTGTTCTTTTTTTTCCCTTTTTTTTTTTAAAATTGGCCACTCTGACACTTTAGATCTGTGATCACATTCATTGTTACATATTTGCTTTTTGATTTATCTAAAAAAATGCTAATTAATTTTACATTCTTTTGCAGACAAATGTAAACCAGATGCTTTTTGTGAACGTCCCAGGCCCCGTTTACCGAGGGCATATGTGGATGCTGCATTCATTCTGGATAGTTCACAGATGAGTGGTGCTGAATTTGAGCAAGTGAAAGACTTCATGAGCAAAGCAGTCACTGCATTCAACATTTCCTCGGCTCCAAAAACATCTGTTGTAGGGGATAGAATAGCTGTGGTGAGCCATGCCCTGTCAGATTTCAAAGCTGGCACAGGGAAGAGGCCAGTAAAGAAAGAATTTGACTTTGTTACCTACGGCACTAAAGACCGAATAAGAATATATATTAAAGAATCTCTTCAACAGCTGAATGGAGAGGCTGCTGTTGGCTATGCCATACAATGGACAATTGCTAACATTTTCTCAGAGGCTCCCAATCCAAGGCCACTCAAAGTTATCATCATTATATCTGCTGGAAAAACGAGTCAATGGGACAAAGGAATATTAAAAAGAATTTCCCTGCAGGCTAAGTGCCAAGGCTATGCACTGCTTGTGATTTCACTAGGAAAGTCCTATGACAGAAATGAACTGGAAGAGCTCGCAAGCACTCCTCTGGAACAGCATTTGGTTCAGCTTGGCAGAATCCACAAGTCTGAACTTGACTATGTAGTGAGGTTTCTGAAGCCATTCATACGTTTCCTCAGGAGTAAGTTATCACATCAGAGGTGGTGGTTTTTTTTTTTTTTATTTCCCTGTGAATTTTCAGTGTTCTGCGAAAGCACTGAATGGATAAGATTGGGGTGTATTCATGGATGTGCATTGCTGGGCAGGTTATATTCAGTCTTCCTTCACAGAGGTCCTCAACCTCGTTCTTTGGGTAAAATCAGGGATTATATCCATCCTCCTTCATTCCAGAAGTCTTTATTTTGGTGACTGACATCTATAGGGCCTGTTACTTGCCAACAGTTTCACAAAGAGTTTAGCCAGGAACAACTGATGGAATGGATATGGCTTTGATGCTGAAAGAAGCACTGCTAAGATTGCCATTGCTATGGAGCACAGCTGCCTTTTCTCTGCCTAGAAATATCACTGATTTTGAGAAATAAATATTTGGTTATAAAAACGTTCCTTTCAAAAGCACAAACACCACCAACTTTCTCATGCAGAGCACCCTCACCATCAGATAGTTAAGGTTTTCCATTACCTTTAGATTCTAACATCACTGAGACCTGTGGCTTCTAATAGGATAGAAACTCCTCAGTGCAGTTCTTTGAGCGACTTTGTCCTGATCATATATTGTATATTCAGCAAGGCAAATGTGTAGCTAGAGAAGAAAATTGGCCATCATCAGGGTTGTTTAAATACAGGTCAATGGAGAATGCAAATGGGAACTGAGTTCAGAATTCATTTTATAATGTGTATATGGAAATCCTGCTACACTGCTGGGAGTTGGAAGAAAAAATTGACTGTGGGGCTAAATGGTCTATATTGGCATAAAATATTGACAAGTGTCCTGCTCCCGTTAAAGATCAATGCCAGCTGACCTTCAGTGTGATCTAGGTACTTCTGCCTCATCAGTCAGCTTTGGAAGTCCAAGACCTAACTTTTCTGCTACTGTAAAAATATAAAATCTGTCTGTCAAATGAAAATGAGAACAAACTAATGATTGCCTGTATCCTCTACAGAGTGTGTTAAATTGTGAATATAGACCACATAAAAAGACATCGGACGTTATGTTATTCATAGACTTTGTTCGTGGCTTTTAGCTAAAAAGTCAGAACAACTTACCAAATAAATAAATAAATAAATAAAATAGTATAAATGTAATCCTCAGGTTCATCTAAAGTTTATTTAGGTCCTTCATTTTTTCATTCAAGTTAATTGCACTTTTTCCTATTGATGGGTGCAGAATCAGGCCACCATAGCATTCATCTGTCTCTGTATAGTGTTTGTGATATGTGTATAAAATTAATGAAGTCACTTGATTTGCAGCTATTCTTGGATAAAAGGCTAAGTTTTGCCAAAATCTTCTGAATCCCACAAAACTAATGAATTTTGTTACTGTCTTCTGAACAGATGAGTACAACTACCCACCAGAAGAGCTCAAGCCAAAGTGTAGCACACTCCGCTTTCAGAGCCAAAGACCTGTGTAAGTCCATTATATAATTATTTGAATATTGGGAGGTTAATGGTGAATAAGATTTACTTTCGGAGCACTCTTCTTACTGGGTGTTTTCAACAAGTTTTTTGTTTGATTGGCTAAAAGTCTGCTTGATTAGCAAAGCTAAAGAGTGGAACTGGACTGTAATAAACACATTAGAAATTGTCAGCATACCATGTTATGTTTTAAAACAAGTCTAAAATTGTTGTACAAAATTAATGATATCCCTTGTATTATTTTTGTGTTTTAAACCTACCTTTGTAGTCACCCAAAACTATACATCGTGCCCTTCTGAAAATTTCCAAGTGCCATAATATATTTTAATATTAAAATGCTACTTTTTTGTTATATGAAGGCTTAAATATAATGAGAAAAGAGAAATCAAAATGAGGAAATCAGTCACTGATGGCAGCCAGTTTTGTGATTCCTCCTGCCAAAGGCATTGGTGGGTTCTGAAACTGAATCAAAGTGCAGAGGGCTCACTTTCAATGCAGAGATTCCCTAGGGAGCTGCCCAGTAGGACACACATCGGAAAAGTGCTGCAAAAAGGCTGCGAGGCCAGCGTTGAGGTCAGCAAAGGAAACGTGAAGTCAATATGAAACACGAAGACTCCAAGCCATTGTCTTCAGGGTTACTCCCCTGAAGCACAACTAAGAACAATGTGAAATTTTCCTGATTTACGTCACTACTGTATAGACCATAAGAATCTCTGTTATGTAGGCAGGCACATTGTCAGCTTATATCTACTTGTTAGGGCAGCTCTAGCATGAGCCTGGGGAAGAACCTGAATTCTTGGATTAGAAAAAAATGGTGATAATAATGAGCAAAATCAAAGCTTTTGAAATCCTTTCTTCCTACTCTTGGAGGAAAATAGCTAGAGCAGCTGGTTGAGAGTTCTTGTTTCTGTTTTCTTACGTTTAGAAACACCATCTCTTATTTGCAGTCACCCTGTTCTGAGTTTTCTCTAGCAGAAGTTCACATATACATTACTTTGGATCATGGCTGATAACAGCAGTATCATTGACTTGTAACAATCAGTCAACTTTGTTTCTTATTCTCACTAAAGTCTATGTTTTCTTGAGAGCTATGTATACATTCTGCTGCACTTCTGTGCACAGTGCAAAAGCGTTTCTAACCTTCACTCACATTTTTTTTCACTATATATAGATCAGTTTTTAAGACTTAGTTTTTCAAGGGAAGTGACTGCAAACAGTCAGGAAAGAGAACAGTTTGTTGATACCAAGAGAAAATACGTATTTTCTTGTTCTGTGTATAAAGAGGTTGCAGTTCTCCTAAATGGCATCTTTGGGGGGGGGGGGGGGGGGGGGAGACCCCCACATTGAGGGCAGGAAGAACACCACACCAGCTGAAAATTTATTCTTTTTTTCAGCCTATTAAATTGTAATTTCAGCTTCTTTGTATTTATGTTATAATTAGGCATTCAATTCTGTCAACAGGCTTGAGCAATTTTGTCTAGGATTTCGCTTCCCTTGTGATTTAGAAGGAGCTACCTGTGAATGTTTTATCGCCACACATCCTGATTGTGTCCTGTGTTTATCTTTAGCTTTTAAACAGAAGAGATGGCTGCAGACCATGTCACTGTAGAGGCTACTTCATTCGCTCCTTCCTGGTACTCAAGAGGATTGTTGCAGGCTGATAGAAAACATACTCCTTTAAGAACAAGTTTTCACCAAGGAGAAACAAAACTGGAATAACTAGAAATCTAAGGCACAATTTTCAGAAACGTGAAGCCCTTCAGCCCAGCTGAAGACAGTGGGGGCTGTGGGTGAAAGTAGAATCTGTGTTTGAAAGAAACAAGCAAGAAGGGAAAATAGTAACATCATTACACCAACTAGCCCTAGATGGATCCTAATGCATCCTTACGATACCAAATGGAAGGAGGGGATCTCTTCTCCAACCTTGCCCCTGCTTCAAGCTGATCTTTTCATTACTTTTCTCCTTCTCTATTTGCAAGTGAATGATTCACGCAAAACTCTGTCTATTTTCTGACAGAACCCTCTCTAAGGGGGATGGAAAGCCTGATGCTTTCTCTATTCACCTGCTGTCTCTTCCCAGCTAGCCTTTTAAAGCACAGATTTGTGTTTTGGTTTCTTTCAGCTCCATGCTGTTTCCAAGATTTAAGTGAATGCAAACTGAACTGCAGAGCGGGTATCAGAATAGTCAGTAAGTGCTTAGCTAAAAGGAGCAGACCTTGTTCTGGAAGAAGTCCTGCAAATCATTCTTAACTTTTTCTTGAATTGAGTTTCCTGAGAATGTGTTTTGAGTTTTTGCAATCAGATGTTAAATCATGTTTCATAACTTTTTCCTGAATTGTTTCTAGCTTTCATGCCCTTCCTGAGTTATGAATACCAACCACAGATACCATGTTGTAAGAAGAAAATCGTTGGTACCATGAAGAGACGAAATGGCTTTCCCATGCAATTTTCTGCTATTCATTGTCCTTTAAGAATGCATTAGCAATGTTTGCTGAAATCATGATCTGATGATGGCTCTTTTGAAAGCTGGTAGATGAGAAGTTATTTTTAGCAGTATCTGCCACAAAAAATGATGATGATGAATGCAGAGAGACACTTGGTCAGTGGGAGGCAGGGATTTCAGGTCCTTCAGAGAGAGATGTAGAGAGAGTATACCAGACTATATCAGATTAACTGCAGATGGAGTTCATGGATTCTCCACTGTCCGTATCCTTAGCGTTTTCATTTTTCCTTTTCTCCTGCATCCTTAAGAGAGGAAAGTGGGTTGTGTTTCATTGTTAGGGACTACAACACACTGCAGTGATGAGAGATGTTTTATTCCCATCTATTTCCATCACAGGGTCCTACAGGAGCACTCATTAAATCTTTGGGCTCAATCAAGCATATGAGTTGGGAAGAGATTTCCTCAATGAAATACTCGCTATCTTAAACACAAAGAACATGCAGAAGGTGGGGAGAAATAACTGAAGAAATAAATTTCTGTATTTATAAGGAGATGTTTTAGTTTGCTTTGCTTCTCAGATGTTTGAAAAGGGGAAAAAGAATGTGCTCTCCTTAAAAGGCACACAGTAACCTGAAGACAGACAGAAGCAGTTCATGATTCTACTTTGGAAGTACACTGCATTCCAGAGATGCTTGTTTCTCTTCAGTGTTTCAGAGAACAAGATCACTAGAAAGATACTTGTTTTGAAATTACAGTACCTGTCTCTCATGCCTCAGAATTAACAAATCTCCATTGCTTTCGGAAACCTGAAAATGTACTTGAGGTCTGATGTTAATATGCAGCCTGTGTACTGCACTGATGAGTGTTGGGTTCATCTGGGCTCTTTACTGGTGCTAACTGATTTGCAAGCTGCCATAAACTTTGTGTTTTATTTTTTCTGTTGCTGTTATTAAGCTACATTGTGGGATTTCCATTTATCTTGATTGCTCTGCTATAACATGTATACACTTCCTTATTAAATGAGATTAGAGCGCAAGAAAAAAGTTTTCTTTATCTTCCAAGCATCCTTGCGAGGAGCTGTGCCATAATGGAGTTCTGATACAGAAAACCAGAAGAGATTTGTAAAGAGAGAACACATTTGTTGCATTTCAGTTATGTAATTTCAAGTCATCATAAAAATGAAAAACCTGATAACTGCTCAAAGGCTGCACATTCCATGAAGCTTCAGATGATGTTTTTAATATATTAACAGCTAGAAACGAGCATGTGCCATAGCTCTTTATAGCTTCTTAATTATAATATGTCCAACACAGAATATCAGCTGCTTCTTTATCAGCTAAAACTCTCAGGAAAATATGGAGTCCATTCTGATGTCATTAAAATTAACAACTACTTCACACATTACATTCTTTAATTTGGAATTGTGCTGTACCCAACATGGCGTGGAAGAATGGTTTTAAAATTGTGCTCCAGAACAAAATATATTTTAACTATATCAGAATTGCCAGTAGAAATACCTTAGATATGTCATGTGTCTATAATAATGGGTTTCTTGCTGTTCTAAACTTCTCTTAAAAATAAATTACTGGACCTATTTTACAAAAGGAGTCTAACATTAATTTTATAGAAGATATTATTTTTCATGGTATTTCTGTAGAAGAAGAATTGGATCTGGGTATTCATAAAGGACTGGTTACTGTTTATTAAGGAATGAGGAAACAGTACACTATCCGTTCTACTGCTCAAGAGGTCTTTTCTAAAGAAGATGGGATAGAGAAGGAACACCACAACATTTGAAAAAATGCTTTCTCCTGTGCAAAGTTCCTTGGTTTTGTTCTTTGTTCATTTAAATGAAAAAAAAAAAAAAAAAAAAAAAAAAAAAAATATTTAATATTCTAATTGAAAACAGTTGCATCCTTGGCCAGGCTGGGAGGGTAAGGAGGAAAAGGCTGGAAAGTGGGGTTCTCCCATTCTGCTCTCTGCCATCACCCCAGCTGTTCTGCTTCTGCCCATAAGTGTGTTCCCGGCATCCTTTCCTCTTCTTGCTCCTCACTCTTTCACAGCACAGTTGAATACAGAAATCCATTTAATTTATAGTTCTACCAGTTCTTGTTCTTTCAAACCTTTCTCTTTGCTGTACCACGGTCAAAGAAAATAATTCAAAAAATGACTGAACATTTATAATAAGAAATTTACATCTATTTTAACTATTTCACAAAACCTAAAACCAACCAAAGAAAAACTCAACAAAATACTTCGAGACTTACTAATTCTGTGCCACAACTGAAGTTAAGTTGTTTGATCCGGCTGCTCCTATCTTTGTGAAGCTCCCCATTGATTCTTGCTTCACATGTCTTAACATGCCTAGCGTAGAAGCACTTGGACTTTCTTGGCAATAATTGCACTGTAAAACCTAAGGAATCTCTAAAATAAAATGGGTGCATGTAATTGTCCATTGCCATGGCTGGGTGTATGTGATGTGTCTCACACCCCACTCTTCCTCTCAATGGGGCATTAAATTTGTCTCTAGCCTCTGTACTGCTGGTCATCTTT